CTGAATTACCCTGCAGTATCAGACAGTATTGCTCTATCCATGTCCCCTTGGAACTCATTGTCCCTGTGCTGGCCAGTGCTTATTAGGACAAAGAGTCTGCATCTTTATTTTTTTCCTTTTTTTCAATTAGTTTTAATTAGTTATACATGATAGTAGAATGCATTATGATACATCATACATAAATGGAGTATAATTTCTCATTTTTTCTGGTTATACATGATGTAGAATCACACCAGTTGTGCAGCCATATATGTTCATAGGGTAATAATATCTGATTCGTTCTACTATCCTTCCTACACCCATACCCCTTCCCTTCCCTTCACTCCCCTCTCCCTAATCTAAAGGAACTCTATTATATCCTTTTTTTTTCTATTTTGGAGAATATTTTTGCAGCTAATCAACTTATCTAATTCTAAAAAAGTTAATTGAAAGTGTGTTTATTGTCATTATTTTACATTTATAGATTACTGTAGGGAGAATTAACATGTTGACAAAGTTGAATATTTCTATCCAAGAACATAGCATGTCTTAAGTCTTCATTTGCATTTAAATTTTTTTCTACATAATCCTTGCACATGTTCCTTTTAATTATCTTCTTGTTCCTTTTGTACATGAGATTTTCCCTCTGCCACATTCTAACTGGTTATTGTTCTATATAATTAGATTATTTCCTAATATTAGCTCTGTAGCCAGCTTAAGCAAGCTTTCTTTTTGTTTATGGTAGGTTTTTGTTTTGATTCTATAGGATTTTTCAGGCAGACAGTACCATTCACAAAAATGATAATTCTACCTTCTGCTTTCAAGCTTTTAATCTTCTAATTTTTTTCTCCTGCTTAATTATGTTGGCTAGTATTTCCAATACATTGTTGTGAACAACCAATAAAAAAAAGAAAAAAAATAAAGCACCACTGGGTTCAATCCCAGTTTCGAAAGAGACCAAAACAAAAACACCAAAAAAATATACAAAAAATGAAACTGAAAAAAAAACATGAATAGTTGCTCCACTTAACTCAGTGTATATAAATGCCTAAATGGCTTTTCTAGGAAATATAAATTGTCACAATTAGTCAGATAGAAAAAAAATCTAAACAGACCAATTTTCATGGAGGAATTAGAAAATGTTATTAATGAGCTAATCCCCAAGTAATAACACTCCTTTACAGTTTCTTAGGCAGCTTCTGTGAAACTTTTGATAGATTATTTCAGTGCTATTTGAACTATTTCAGAACAAAGTAAAAAAAATAAAATACACACATTCTTAGAAAGCTAATATAACACTGATATTAATACCCAACAAAAATGGCAACAAAAATAATAAAACCAGAGCCCAATCTCACCTATGAATATTGATGTCAAAATCCAGCATAAAAGAAAGTCATTAGAGTCTGCATCTTTAGACTGAGGCTAATTTTGCTGTAAGAGTCTACCCAGCTCATTTGCAAAATGTTTAATTTCCCTAGTGGCAGCCACCAGATAGGATTAGAGCAATGAATACCCCAGATTCCACAACTTTTAGGTAGTATAACCCTGAGCCATGTCTTCTAGAGTCTTCTAGTGGCTCCAAGGTTCCAGGTATGATTTTCTCCCATTGTTCACATTTATTATCTGCTCACTAATGAAATCCTGAATTTGTGTCTGTATTAGTCAGGCTTCTCTAGAGGAACAGAATCAACAGGATGCATATAATATTATCAAAGAAAGGAGATTTATTAGGTTGGCTTTGCAGTCAGAAGCTGGATAGGCGGAGAATCTCACAATGGCCACGTGCAACTTGCAGTGCTGGGGGGACTAGTAGTTACTCAGTGCAAGCGGTGGAGCCTCAGAAGAAGGACAAATGAAGTTTCCCAGTTCTACACTGAAGGCTTGGGAGCTCCCTAGGGAAAAGCTCATCAGAGTCTGTGTGCAAGGAGTGAAGGAGCTTGTGTCTGATGTCCTTGGCGGATGGCAGCAGCAATTCCAGCACCCACTCAGGAAGAATCGAGTTTGCGTCTGTCGGCATCTTCCTTCTTCCACCCTTTGTTCCCTCTAGGTCTCCACTGTGTGCCACCCACATTCGGGGTGGGTCTGTCCCATCACTTGGCTGCCCCATATGACAATCAGTTCTGAAAACACCTTTGCCCCTTCATCATGGGACCCAGGAATCTCTTAATCTTCAGCATCTCTTAGTCCAATCAAGTTGACCGTCCAGATTAACCATGGCAGAGTCCTTCCCTCCTGTTACTCCCTGTCCTTCTGCTTTATGAGTGTTTCCCTGCTATTAACTCCTAAGCACATGATTTCAAATTACTGATTTGGGTCTGATCTGGGGGAACCTACTCTAACACAGATCCCAAGACTATGGGTCTCTTCTTTAAACAGGCAGATCCTCTACCATTAACCTTGGAACCTAGAGTAATACAGGACACAAGAGACCCTTGCCTCAGATAAGCAAGATCAAATCAAAGGAGAAAAGTTGAAGAAGAAAGCATATCCATGCTCATTCTTCTTTCAAATTCCCCAATCAGATAAATTGCCTCTCTCTCCTCTGCTGGAAACTTCCACTGTACTCCTGTACCTGTGGCTTACAAACTAACTTTTGAGTTTTATGTAACTCAAAGGGTTTAATTTTCCCCTTATGCTCCAATAGCAGTGGCTCGGGGTATCGGAATGTGGATTAGCACTTATTTCCCCACAGTCTTAGTGCTGGCTGCAGACATCCATGTCTTTTGACAAGAACAATGATATGAGGCCAATGATTATTATTTTGTATTTTCACTGTCCACCTTCTCAAAATTTTTTGCTTGTTCCTGTTTTTCTGCTTTTATGAAAATGTAATCCAATAGAGAATTTTTAAAATATATTCCCTAAGAAATTTAGTTGGTCCTTCAAACAGACAACTGAGCCAGTTCTTCGTTTGATAAATTCTCACCTAATTTTTATTTGAGCACTTATTTCCCCCAGGTTCTCTCTATTCTTTGTGGAGCTCATACAACATAGGGAATTTCTCAATCTATCCTGTCACTTTAACCTATTTTTGTTTTAGTTATACTAAGAATACTTGAGATCTGTCTTTAGCAAATTTTTAAATGCACAATACGTTATTGTTAACTTTGGGCCCATCATTGTACAGCAAATCTCAAAGACTTGTTCTTCTTGAAAAACTTATGCTTTGTACTCATTAAATAGCAGCTCATTTTCCTTTTCCTCAACCCCCCGAAACTACCATCCAATATTCTGTTTCTTTGATTTTGGTTATTTTCAATACTTCTTATAACTAGATTCACACCATAGTTTTCTTCTGTCCCTGTATTATTTCACTAAATACAACACTTTCTAGATTCACTCCTATCTAGACTCACATATACGGATTTTCTCCTTTACAACGATTGAAGAGTATTCCATTGTATGTATATGCCACATTTTCTTTATGCACCTAACTGTTGATGGACATTTATGCTATTTCCATAACTTCACCTTTGCATATAGGGATATAAGAGACAGGAGGATCTGAATATTTCTTTGAGATCCTGATTTCAATTTGTTTGGCTATACACCCCAAAGGAGGATTGCTGGATCAAATGGTAATTTTGTTTCTGATAATTAGAATCTTCATATTGTTTTACATAGTAGCTACAACTTTCATTTCCACTTTGAGGGCTCAAGAGTTCAGGGATTTCCCCACACACTTACTAATACTAATTTTCTTTAGTTGGTTTGTTATTATTGTTATTTATAATAACCACCCAATGGGTATAAGGTGCTATTTCATTTGTGTTAAGTATATGTTTAATCTTCAATCTGTTTTTGTGTTGATTTGTGTTGATCTTTCTCTATGATGTAAATTACAATCCAATTTGTTGTTTCACATGTGAATATCTAGTTTTGCCAGCACAACTTGTAGAAGAGACTGCCTTTTATCTGTTGTCCATTCTTGGCACCCTCATATGGTTTTATTTCTGGGATCTCTATTCTATTTTATTGTGCTGTGTCTGTTTTTTATGCCAGCACCATTCGGTTTTACTTACTGTCATATCACAATATTTTTTTAATCCTTTACCTCTTTATTTCTTTTCTATTAATCAATTTGTTTATTTTAATTACACATATATGATAGCAGAATGCATTTTGATTCATTTTACACAATAGCAGCACAATGATGCAGCGTCGTACCATATGTGCAGTCATACATGTACCTAGGGTAATGATGTCTGTCTCATTCCACTGTCTTTCCTGCCCCCGTGCCCTTTCCCCATCCTTCCCTTTCCTTTGCCCAATCAAAGTTCCTCCATTTTTCCCATGCCTCCCCCATTATGTATACACATCCACTTATTAGAGAGAACATTCAGCCTTTGTTTTGGGGGGCTTGGCTTACTTCACTTAGCATGATATACTTCAACTCCATCCATTTACTTGAAAATGCCATAATTTTATTTTCTTTTAATGCTGGGTAATATTCCATTGTGCATATATACCACAGTTTATTTATCCATTCATCTATGGAAGGGCATCTAGGTTGCTTCCACAGTTTAACTATTGTGAGCTGAGCTGCTATAAAGTTGATGTGACTGTGTTACTATGTATGATGATATAGACTGGGTCAAATGTCAGTTCCATTCCAAGTTTTCTAAGGAGTCTCCATAGTGCTTTCCAGATTGGTTGCACCAATTTGTAGCCCCACCAGCAGTGTATGAGTGTGCCTTTCCCCCCACATGCTCACCAACATTTTTTGTTGTCTGTATTCTTGATAACTGCCACTCTGACTGGCATGAAATGAAATCTTAGAGTAATTTTGATTTGCATTTCTCTAACTACTAGAGATGTTGAACATTTTCTCATATATTTGTTGATCGAATATATATTTCCTTCTGAGAAGTGTCTGTTCAGCTCCTTAGCCCATTTATTGATTGGGTTATTTGTTTTGTGGTGTTAAGTGTTTTGAATCCTTTATATATCCTGGAGATTAGTGTTCTCTCTGACATGGCTTATTGCAATAAAGAATACCAGACACCAGAAAAGCTGAAATGAGTCCAAAAGACATAAAAACAGGCCACCGTGGCAGCCACAGTCAGCTCATCACTCTGGATGGGAACCTGGGCATGATCCTGTTGATCCTGCTGGACTCCCGTCTCCACACTCCCATGTACTTGCTCCTCAGTCACCTGTCTCTGGTGGACTGCGTTTATTCTTCAGCTATCACTCCCAAGGTCATGGCGGGGTTTCTCACAGGAGATAAGATCATTTCCTACCATGCTTGTGCAGCCCAGATGTTCTTTGCAGCCTTTGTCACTGTTGAGAGTTTCCTGCTGGCCTCAATGGCCTTGGATCGCCATGCAGCCGTGTGTAAGCCCATGCACTACACCACCACCATGACGAGCACTGTGTGTGTCCTGATGGTCACCGCCTCCTATGCCTGTGGGCTTCTGCAGGTTTCTGTCCATATAGCCTTCACTTTCCATCTCTCCTTCTGTCGTTCCAATGTGATCAATCACTTCTTCTGTGACATTCCCCCACTTCTGGCTCTTTGTTGCTCTAATATCTACACAAACAAGATTGTGCATTTCACGTTGGCAAGATTTGATATTTTTTTCACTCTCTTGGTCATCTTGAGCTCTTACCTGTTCATTTTGGTTGCTATCCTGAGTTTGCATTCCTCTGAGGGACAGAAGAAGGCCTTCTCCACCTGTGGGTCCCACCTCACAGCTGTTTCCATCTTCTATGGAACCATCGTCTTCATGTACCTACAGCCCAATTCCAGTCACTCCATGGACACAGATAAAATGGCATCTGTGTTCTACATGATGATCATCCCCATGCTGAACCCCCTGGTCTACAGCTTGAGGAACAAAGAGGTCAACAGTGCATTCAGGAAGGTTGTTGGAAAAGCAAAGCCCTCACTAGGCTTAGTCTGTTGATTGTGTATTGCTTGCAAAAAAATTAAAACATTCATTGGGCATCTAGTGTTTAATAATATTATGTAATTACAATTATTTCTTTTCTTTCATTTCTCTGAACTGTTCTTTAACAATGTGAATTTTTCTCTTCATGATTTGGAAATATAATTAGGTTTTAGGAAAATCTACATGTCTTTTTTCAGAAATAAGATGCCGCTCCCAGTTTAAGAGCCAGATTCTAATCCTAGATACAATAGGATCCCTCATTATAATACACCATTAGAATGAAGTCCTTTGCATGTAATCTTCATATGTACATGATATCAGGCTTATATTTTTAAGTCTTAAAATGCAAAATAACATTATAATTCACATATACAGCATAGAGCCATAGTTCTCAGATGTTTGTTCGCCTAAGAATCACCTTGTAAGACTGTCATCGTACAAAATACCAGGATATAATTCAAAATAATATCATTATATATTCCTTGTAAAGTCCATAAATTCACAAGATGATCACTCCTTATCTACATCTGAGCATCAATATAATAGAAAGCCCAATGAAGACTTTGAATGATTAAAAATACTATAGAATCAAATCTATTTCATCTGTCAATTTCAGATATCAGAAACAAAGCTCAGAGAGCAGAGTTTTTATTCCAAATATATTGACATTTAATCCTTACCTGAGTTCTACATAGTAGTCATGTCTACCAAACTTATTGTATAACAATATGTTCTATTGTAGATGCTTCTATATGTTTTTGAATAAAAATGACAAATTTGTAAAATTGGGAGTTTGTGTCTACAATATTTCCAGGAGTAGATTTAGGAGAGAGAGGAAAGGGCAGGTTTTTCCCCACACTAGCAGTTGAATACTACCTTCTCACAAGGTGCTGAGGGTCAAGATCAACAAAGACAGGAAATTCTCTCAGGTGTGATACAAAGAAATGAAAGAATATTGTTGGTCACTCAGAGACATGCAATCTGGCACGATCAAAATCACAACCAGGACTGAGTTTCCTATTTTAAAAAGCAAACTCTGGGACTAAAATTAAAAGGGAATTGTAAGTGTAAGAAGCACTGGTATCAGTTCATACTTCAGACCTCTCATCTTTTACTGGGCTCAGATTATTTCATAAATCCTTAAAATGCTTGCTTCACTCAGTTAATGAAATGTAATAGGAAATCAAATGAGGAGAAAATATGTGATTGGTGGTTACACTAGTGAGGAAGTGAGTGAATGTGTGGGAGCAAGGGAGCTGAGTCTGAATACCTGAATCAGCACCAAATTGGATGTGTTAATGAGCGATCACCGGATTCAAGGGCTCCTTGTTTTATGTGCCTAGGGGAATGACATCTGTTAATCCAATTTACAATATTCTCTCTTTGTTTGTCCATTGTTATAAATACCAGGCATGTTTTCACTAACTGAACCCAAAGCCCATATCTAAGGATGTAACCCACATGGCAACCTGCAGGCTTATGGAGCATCATGAAATTGAAAGAGTAGAACATGACCAGTGCCAATCAAACCAACAACAAGATTAGGATGGCCAATACTTTTAGGAAAACTTGTAATTTTGAAAATGGAGTAAAAGGAAATGGACCCCACTCTTCTGTGTCCATTGGGCCAGCAGCCAGATGGAAGCTGAGGGCATGAGGACTGACATTTTTATAAAGCATTACCATATGTCACACGTAGTGTTAGATGCTGACAATAAGGATATTTATTTTTCAAAAAGACCTCACAAATGTGGCTGCAAATCCATGCAAAGCCAGATCAAAGAACATAATGTTTTCTCTGAGGAACTCTCGATGGGAAGAAAAATATCTAGAAAAGAGATTACCAGCTACCTAACAAACATAAGAATATTGATTCATGAGTTCTCTCTAAAGAAGTCACCTCAAACTGTACTAATTTAATAATGAAGACTAAAGCCCCCAATATGGTGCAACGTGTACAAATTGTGTAATTACTCTGTGTCTCTCTTTCTCTGCTTTTATTGTGTGCACAATAATGCTATCTACTCCATGGGGTTGGGTGACCTTTAGTGAATAGGTCATATCAGGTATTTAGTACAAAGCTGGTCCTTCTGTAAAGAAATAAATGTGTGTTTATTACACCTTTAGCAAAGGAATGAAGAATTGGACCATGTCATCCCTCTATTACTCTCTATTACTGTGCTGCCTCAGTGTTTTTCTCTACTTCTTTATATTAAAATATTTTTCAACATAGACTTGCAGACAGACCTATACCTATCCACCTAGGGACACATTCTTGAAGCCAAGAACCTTCTGAGGGAACCAGAACAGGGACAAATTGCTCCGTCCCTTTAAGATAATCAGTAAGAAATGTTTAACTATCTGATCACAGAAACAGAATCATCTCAATTCTTCTCTGTGTTATCCAGAAAATGTGTTGACAACCCTGACCGTTTTTGTGCGCCTCATCAACCGTACTAATGGAAAAAAATCCCCATGAATAATCACATAAGTGATATTCTTTGTTATCATTAAACAGGCAAATAATTTTGGATGTTTTGATTGAATTAAACATTGTTGATCAGGGAGTTAAAAGTTTAACTAATTCAAGTCAATTTATTGTGTCATGCTTTGGTATTTTTAATAAAGGGACAAATTAATTTCCATCAGTAGTTGCCTATGAAACATCTGATACAAAGTAATCACAAAACTCTTCTTCCACTGCATTAAACATATACAATTGCATAGCATATATTTATAAATTTGTAACTGAGCTCAAATATCATTTTCAAATTTATTGTCCAGAGAAATACAAATAATTATAAATGAGAGATGAGTCTGTGATTTACAGAGCATAGAAATAAAGAAACTACTGAGCCCTTGAAAATAATTGTCTCTCAAAAAAAGAAGTATACACATTCAGGACAGATTTCCTAGGAAAAAAAGAGCATGAAATATATATTGATTCCTTCCAATGACCAGAAGCCCTGTTTTGTTTGTCTCTTTAACCAGTCCTCGTATCTCTAGGAAAAAAAATAATAAATTAGATTATTCACTTGTTTAAAAAAACAGAAATAAACTACCACTGACAAAACTGACTCACTAATATAAGAAATGTGAGTATTAATATTTTGGGCCATTAAATCTGCAAAAGAAATAGACATAGATCTCTTCTACATTAATAAAAAACAAAATAGGTTTTCATGAAATGAATTTTCAAATAATTAAGAGTATGTTAAATGTAGGAGATTCTACCCATGAAAGTCAGGAAATATAAGGAACAGAATCAACCAGAACCAAGAGAAGATACATATTGTAAGAGAAATAAATAATAGTGCAACACACAAATATTAAAACTAAGATTCTTAAAATATTCATGAATTATGAAGGAATTATATGAATTAAACAAGAATAGACAATAAATGGAAGGAAAACAAGTGCTCATTATCATTATTGGATGTTGTTGTTGTTGTTGTTTTTGTTGTTTTAAGCACATAAAAGCCCTGGATATAAAGTTTAAATTATCAAAAAAGTACAAAATCTTAATGGATGGGTTAAACATCAACCTAAACAAAATTGAAGTCAGAATCAGCATGTAGATATTAATTTTAAAAATATTTAAAATACTCCTTTAATAAAAGAGATGGAAAGATTTAAAGTATTTTTAAAAACAAGCAGATCAGACTGAGAAGCTCCAACATAGACCTATAAGAAATTAGAGAAGGAAAACTTTGTGATACATGGAAAAAATATTCAAAGTAATCAAATCAGACTGACAGCAGACTTTCCATCGAAACCTATAGAAGTCAACAGACAGTGGAGTCACATCTTTAGTATTCTTTTTGTAGTATGTCCTTTTCTGATTTGGTATCATGGTGATACTGTTTTTAAAGAATAAATTTGGTAGTATTCTTCCCTTTTCCATTTCATGGATTAATTTAAAAGGCATTGACATCTTTGTCAAGAATCAGGTGACTATATCTGTGTGGGTGCATCCCTGTCTTATCCTCAATCCTATTGGTCTATGTGTCTATCTATGCCAGTAACATGTTGATTTTATTATGATAGCACCAGAGTACAATTTGAAATTTAGTAGTTGATACATTCAGCATTGCTCTTAATGCTTAGAATTATTTAGACTAGTCTAGGTTCATTGATTTTCAAAATGAATTTTAAGAGTTTATTTCAAGGTCTGTGAAGAATTACATCAGCATTTTGGTGGATATTATACTAAATCTGTGAAGCACTCCTGGTGGTATAAATCATTTGCCTTTCTTATCAGTGAGCAAAATAGACATCTATATAGTACTGGACAACATCTGCATTCACATGGGAAAAGAACAAAAGACAGAAAACCTACTCTTGCAAATATATTTTCTAGCAGTCTTAATCAGTGGGGGCAAACCTTTATCACCTAAAAACCTCCCCTAAATTTCTACTTTCCAAACACCATGGCATTTGGGGTTATGTCACCAGCATTGGGACTTGGAGTGAAAATGCAAACCATTCCAGTTGCCATTTGACCCAGCAATTCAACACTGAAATGTGTACCCAAGAGAAATGAAAACAGGCCCACACAAATATTATAAACAAATGGTATCATTTTAAGAAGTAAATGGTAGGAAAAATGTTCATCCACTGATGAATAAAATAAATAAAATATGATAAATATTTACAATGAAATATTCAACAATAAAAGGGAAGAGAGTGCAAATACATGCACAAAATGGATAAGCATGAAAATATTCTAAATGAAGAAAACAGTATAAAATAACCATGACCACGTCATGATTTTATTTATAAAATATGTCCATTCTAAGTTACTCTATAGAAACAAAATGTAAGTGATTGGTTTCCTAGGATTAGGTAGAAATGTAATGAAACTATACCAGGAAGATTCTAGACCTTGAGAAAAAGCTAGAGGTGAGAAAGATTGAATGAGATCCTCACTTCACTGAAGCCAGAGACTTTATCAACAATTTTATTTTATTGCCTAATATGACTGTGGCACAGATAATAAGTTCAGGGTCTCTTTTGCAGATGTTGAAGATGTTCTTGAATTATTTTTCAACTGTCATAAAACTCTACATACGCATTTAATATTGGTGAATGTTCTGCTCTGTTAATTATATTATGACAAGGTTCTTATGTAAACAAAAAAAATAAGTGTGCGTAAGGGGACTAGTTCCCAAAAACTTATCTGAATTTTTTTAAAGATTTTTAGTTTATTATATATGATATTAGGTAGAATAGATTTTTGTCACATACATAAACAAATAAAGCCAATACCCCAACGATTGATTGAAAAGGACAAGAATTTTTTCTTACTTTGCAACTAGGTGCACATCACATGGTGTCTAGGACAGTTTTGGTCCTTCTCAACATGCTCACTCAAACACCCAACCCAATGGGAACTTGGTCTCCTGGAGCTCCTCCCTTGGGAGCAGAGACTCCTCAGCTGCCCTGGTGGAATGAAAGACAACAGATGGGCTGTGCATCGATTTCACTACACCTCGACTCAGGAATGACACACACTGGTGATTCCCTTGTCCACTTGATAGAGAAGGTTGATGGCTCTGTCAACTTCAAAGATTCAGAGAAATGGAGGAAGTCGATGTAGTATTTCAGCACTACTATTTTTCTTCCACTTCCAAAGTCAGTTTTAATCGGTGATAAAGTGGTAACACTTAAGCTTCTTCACTTCTTCATACGTGTTACATATCAGGTTTAGATTTCTATATCTCATTTCACCTGCATGCTTCTCTTGTGAGAGATAAAGAATATTATTACTATATTTTCCCAATTGATATACTCAAGTTTCTTAACACTAATTAATTGGCCAAGTTCAAAAAGTGCAATAGGTGATAGAAGTAGAATTTGAGTTGATACACATGGCCACACAATTCTAAATCACAAAACTACACTTGACTGCATTAATGAAAGAGATAATTCTACCTCAAGCAGTGGGATTAGAGGTGGAAAAAATGGAGAAGAAAAGATGGATACATTCTTAAATTTTAAAAAGAAGGATTAACTTATTCCTCCTATTTATCATAACACAATTGCACATTAGAGTTACTATTACCTAAGATAACATATTGCATGTATTAAATCACCAAAATGCATTTTGAATGATCCCACAATAATGAAAAAAGACAGATATTTAAGATGAGGGATGTGCTCTTACTCTGATTTGCATGATGGTCTTTATACATATATAGTACGTACATATGCCATAAATGGGAATATTATATAGTTACAAAAAATTGTTTAAAATGAGGGCAGAAATAGCCCCATACTACCTCTGCAGTGGAAAGACAAATAGATATTTTGTTTAAAAAATAGACTAAATCAAAGAAAAATTATACCAGGAAGACTCTAGACCTTTGAGAAAAAGTTAGAGGTGAGAAAGATTGCATGAGATCCTCACTTCACTGAAGCCAGACACTTTATCAACAATTTTATTTTATTGCCTAATATGACTGTGGCGCAGCTCATTGAATGATTGGGCCCTTGTTCCTCTAAGATTCTATCCCCTGTGTCCTCACAAGCACTCTCAGCCAAAATGCACACACCACCCTTTGCTAGCTCCAGACAGGGTCAAGTTAATGAGTCCATGTGGGAGTAGAGGTCTCCAGAGATCTCTGCTCTCGTGGCACTGTTTTCCCTGAGACTCCTGTGGAAAGCTGCATCTCTGCTTGATATCTGCAAGAGCACAGCCCACATTATGTGCCACAGCACAGAGCTCCACGGTGGGGAAAGAGACTCTCCTGCTTTTGCAGATGTGGACTCTCACACAATGGTCTAGATACCTTTTCATCTGTTCCCAAACAAAAGTAAGTATTATGAAAACTGACAATCATTTCTCGGTAGAAGTCTAAGGGCAATAAAATGCCTATCCATTTAAAAACATGGAAACAAAATAAAAGGGAAATAACACTAGGTATGGTGAGCAGCAGCAGCACAGGCACTTATTGTTGGTCTCCTCACTCCTAGTCTCCTGCTCTCTTCCCTATAGCGCTGCTCAGTGGCATCCAGGTATTCACATCCACTGCCTTGCCTTGTACTAATAGTTGGGGTGATGGGGTCAGACTCAAGGGGAAAACACACTCCTCAGTTTCTTGCCTTTTGAATGTGCTATAGGAGTTCCGGTGCAGCAATTACAGCTGTGTTTGTCAACTTCAGGGGTTGTGGCTCCTGAAACATCTCCTGGACCAGCTGCATGGTTAGACTGCTTTCATTAAGAATGTCAAAGTACAGACATTCAATATGGTTAGCTGAATATTCTGCCATGGTTGAGAAAAGCTGAGATAAGCTAAGTAATGCCTCCAAAGGCTTCTTTTGAAAATGTTATAGTGTCGCTCTGCCCTCTTCCTCTTCTCTCTCTCTTCTCTCTCTGCTCTTTCTCTTTCTCTCTGCTCTCTTCCTCTCCTCCCTCCTCCTCTCCTCTCTCTCCTCTCTGCTTCTCATTTTCTTCCCCTTCAGGCAGCCCCCCCCAATAAATATCTTGATTGAAAAAAATGAAGAAAATGTTAGTGTCATGTTATCAAAGAACTTTTATGTTTATTATCACATAAGAGCCCGGAGGGAGGGACACATTACATTCACTATAGCTATCCTCAGCAACAGGGGCTACATCATCCCTGCCTTGAATGTGGCAGTTTGTTATTCCAGAGAAGATTAGGGTCACTCAGTTTGTCAGTCAGATGTGTCTCCTGAGCTGAGAGGACCTCTCATGCTATAATCACAGCAGCACCTTGAGGTGGCACCTGAGCAGCCCAGGGTCTGTACAACCAGATGCACCACAAAAGATGGCTTGGTAGAGAATACAGAGCTTCTAGGACAGAGCAAATGGAACTCTACTGCCTTCTCTGTTCTACCTGCCCAGAATTAAAGCAAAGATATGGGCAATGGCAGGAAATGGAAAACATCAGTATCCAGGATAATAATGATTGTCACATAAAAAAGAAAGCAATAAATATTTGCTTCAACATTTTGAAAATTTTTTTCTACCCATTTTGAGGCACCAGAAGACATGAAGACTTCACTAAGCATGTGTGGATACATTACAAACACTCTATGGGGAGCTTTGTTTACAAGGAAATTCCAATTTAAGAGGCTCATGAATTAGAGATAAAAGCATGAGTGTCCCTAGAGCAGGGCCTCAAGTCATTGCATATTTTCAGCTTATTTTAAACAAGTTGGGGAGAAACCTGTCAGACACTGGATATGCATTTGACAGATTCTGCTAGCATCATACACCAAAGAGTAACCAAATATTGTCCAGATTGGACTTTCCGCTGATTAACTATTGTGTGTATATATTTTAGAAAAGAGTATTACCAACATATTCCAAGTAGTGAAAAGGACTTCTAGATGCTTTATTATCATGAAGAATGCCCGACATCAGAAAAGCTAAATGGAGCCCCGTAGTTGAAATGAGGACCTCCAGGATAACCTCCATCAGCAATGACCTTCCAAACCCATTTATAACACTTTCCGTGAGAGGAAGGACCTCCTTCAACCACCCAGAGCCCAGCCTTCAGTCCACCTGCTTTCACAGACTCCTGCATGGACAAGAAGCTACATATGACCAGTAGTCCCTGGCCACACTTCAGCTCTCATGGTAGTGCACAACTTGAAAGATTTGTCTGTTCATCTTGTCAAGTCTTTCTCAAGATCATTCCCAACAGCTTTCATGGAAAATAAATCAGAGGTGACTGAATTTATTCTGGTGGGGTTAACAGATGCCCTCGAGCTACAGGTCCCCTTATTTATTCTCTTCACCCTCATCTACCTCATCACTCTGGTGGGGAACCTGGGCATGATCCTGTTGATCCTGCTGGACTCCCGTCTCCACACTCCCATGTACTTGCTCCTCAGTCACCTGTCTCTGGTGGACTGCATTTATTCTTCAGCTATCACTCCCAAAGTCATGGCGGGGTTTCTCACAGGAGATAAGATCATATCCTACCATGCTTGTGCAGCCCAGATGTTCTTTGCAGGCTTTATCGCTGTTGAGAGTTTCCTGCTGGCCTCGATGGCCTTGGATCGCCATGCAGCCGTGTGTAAGCCCCTGCACTACACCACCACCATGACGAGCACTGTGTGTGTCCTGATGGTCACCGCCTCCTATGCCTGTGGGCTTCTGCAGGCTTCTGTCCATATAGCCTTCACGTTCCATCTCTCCTTCTGTCGTTCCAATGTGATCAATCACTTTTTCTGTGACATTCTCACACTTCTGGCTCTTTCTTGCTCTAATATCTACACAAACGAGATTGTGCTTTTCACGTTGGCAGCATTTGATATTTTTTTCACTCTCTTGGTCATCTTGAGCTCTTACCTGTTCATTTTGGTTGCTATCCTGAGTTTGCATTCGTCTGAGGGTCAGAAGAAGGCCTTCTCCACCTGTGGGTCCCACCTCACAGCTGTTTCCATCTTCTATGGAACCATCGTCTTCATGTACTTACAGCCCAATTCCCGTCACTCCATGGACACAGATAAAATGGCATCTGTGTTCTACACAATGATCATCCCCATGCTGAACCCCCTGGTCTACAGCTTGAGGAACAAAGAGGTCAATCGTGCATTCTGGAAGGTTGTTGGAAAAGCAAAATCCTCACTAGGCTTAGTCTGTTAATTGTGTGTTGCTTGCAAAAAAAAATTTTAAAACATTCATTGGGCATCCAGTGCTTAATAATATTATGTAATTACAATTATTCCTTTTCTTTTATTTCTCCGAATTGTTCTTTTACAATGTGAATTTTTCTCTTCATGGTTTGGAAATATAATTAGGTTTTAGGAAAAGTTGCATGTCTTTTTTTCAGAGATAAGACACCACTCCCAGTTTAAAAGCCAGATTCTAAACCTAGATACAATAGGATCTGACATTGTAACACATCATTAGAATGAATTTCTTTGCAGGTAATACTAATATGTATATGATATCAGGCTTATATTTTCAATTCTTAGAGTGAAAAATAACAACATGATTCACATATACAGCATAAAGCCACAGTTATCATATGTTGATGCCTCTAAGAATCACTTGAAAGATTGTTATAGTGCAGAGCACCAAAATCTAATTCAAATCATATTACTCTAAATTTGTGTTAAATCCATAAATCCATGGTGTGAGTGCTCATTATCTGCATCTGCTTGACTCTGGAGCTTCAATATAAAAGAAGGTCCAATGATATTTAACCATGTAATCAAATCTATCTCCTCTGTCAATTTCACATATCAGAGACAAAGTTCAGAGCAAGAATTACTTCCAAATATATCAATATTTAATTCTTACCTGACTTCTAAAAGTAATCATGTCTAAAAAAACTTATTGTAATAGCAACATGTCCTGTCATACATTCCTCTATATGTTTTCTTAACAAAAACAACCAGAAATTTGTAAAACTGGAAGTTTATGTCTGCATTATTTCCAGAAGCAGAATTAGGAGAAAGAAAATTAGAGCAAATTCTTCCCCACACTATCAGCTATAATATTGTCTTCTAACATGGTGCTGAGGTCAAGATCGACAAAGACAGGAAGATTTTTCAGGTGTGTTCAAAGAATGAAAGAATATTGTTGGGCACTCAGGAACATGCAATCAGGCACAATCAAAATCATAGGCAAGACTGAGTTTTCTATTTTAAAATGAATACGCTGGGACTGTCATGGAAGGGGACTGGTGTGTGTAAGGAACACCGGCGTCAGTTCATACTTCAGAACTCTCATCTTCCACTGGGTTGTTTATTGTAGGAATCCTTAAATGCTTGCTCCATTATATAAATTAAGTGCAGTAGGAAATTAAACAATGAGATAATGTGTGACTGGTAGCTACACTAGTGAAGAAATGAGTAAATGAGTGGGAGAAAGGGAACTGAGTCTGAATACCTGAATCAACACCAAATGGGATCTATAATGTTGGGTAATAGGATTCAAGGGCTCCTTATTATATGTGCCTCGGGAAAAGATATCTGTAAATCTATCCCACAGTATTCTCTCTTTGTTTGCCCATTGGTATAAATACCAAGTATGTTTTCACTAACTAAACTCAAATCCATATGTAAGGATGTAGCCCATATGGCAACCTGCAGGCTTATGGACCATTATGAAATTCTAAAAAATAGAAAAGGATCTGTGTGAATCAAACCAACCAGAAGGATTAAGATCAGGATGGTCAATCCTCGTAGGTAAACCTGTAATTGTGAAAGTGGAGTAAAAGGAAATGGACCCCACTCTTCTGTCTCATTGGGCCAGGAGCCAGATGGGAGCTGAGGACATGGAGACTGACATCCTTCTAAAGTGTTACCATGTGTCACATGTAGTTCTAGATGCTGACAATGAGAGTATTTATTTCTCAAAAAGACCTCACGAAGGCAGCTGTCAGTCCCTGCAAAGACAAATCAAAGAACAAACTGTTTCTCTGAAGGAATTCTCAAGGGGAAGACAAATATCCAGAAAAGAGATCACCAGCTGCCTTACAAATATAAGAATATTGATTCATGAGTTCTCTTTAAAGAAGCCCCTTTAAATTGTACTTATGCAATAATGAAGATCAAAATCCCCAATATGAGACAAGGTGTACGAACTGAATATGTACTTTGTGTCTCTGTTTCAATATGTGCATAATAATGATACCTGCTCCATGAAGTTGGGTGATGTCTAGTGAATAGGTCATATCAGGTATTTAGTATAAAGCCTTGCCTTCTGTAAAGAAATAAATGTAACATATGGTTATTACAACTTTAGCAACAAATGAAGAATTGTACCATGTCATGCCTTTGTCACAAAGTAATGATAATGAGACTGACAGCATACTTTCCATCAGAAACCACAAAGTCATCAGACAGTGGAATCACATCTTCCCAAATGATGAGTGAAATTAAACACCAATCCAGATTTCTATACCCAGATGAACAGTCACACGAGCCTGAGGACAAAATAAAGGCATCTTCAGCTATGCAAAAATTAAAAGTTAATTTACTATTCATCAGTGCTGAACACAGGAACATATTTAAGTAAGGGTGAAGATTCTTTGGAAAGCTGATAAGAAATAACACATTGTTCTTGGTTCATAGGCTGCTTTCCCTTTCTCTTTTGCTCTCCAAAGTGTCCACAAGATTTTTTGCTATAATAAATTTATTTTTTATTGGAACATTTTAACTGAGTATCAGAACTATTCATTGTGCATACTCATAAATGCACATAACATAATTTGGTTGATGGCATTCCACAATACCTCCTTTTTTTCCTCCCCTTCTCCCTAACCCAATTCCCTTCTTCTAATAAACTGGTCATCTTTTCAGTTTTGCAAACTCCCTCTTTCATTCCTTTTTCTAACTTTTAAATATGAGCAAAATATACATCCCTTAACTTTTGGAATCTACTTTACTTCACTTAGCATGATGTTCTACAGTTCCAGCCATTTACATGTGACAAGATTCCATTATTCTTCATCAATGAGAAAAACTCCCCTGTATACACTTACATATTTTCTTTATCTATCCATCTGTTGATGTGCACTGAGGCTGGTTTCATGACTTGGAAATTGTTAATTGTGCTGATGTATACATTTATTTCTATAATATGCTGACTTTAGTTCTTTAGCATAAATTCTGAAGGTAGGTAGAATAGCTGAGACATATGCTGGTTCCATGCCTAGTCATTTTTTGGAATCTCAAGACTGACTTCCATAGTAGTTGTACTAAATTGCAATCACAACAACAATGTATTAGTGTTCCTTTCTCCCTGTATCCTCACCAGCATTTATTATTCTTTGTATTCTTGATGGTTGCATTGTAACTGGAATGTGATGAAATCTCAGTGTCCCTTTGAATTGCATTTCCCTGATTAATAAGGATGTTGAACAATTTTCTCATATGTTTGTTGCCCTTTTATATTTCTTTTTATGAATATGTGTTTAGGTCACTTGACCATTTATAGCCTGGGTTTTCTTGAGTGATAATGATGATGATGATGATGATGATGATGATGATGTGTGTGTGTGTGTGTGTGTGCATTCACATGTGTGCACATGAGTATGTTAAATTTGTGAGTTCTTTATATATTCTGGATATGAATACCCTACCAGAACAGTAGCTGGCAAAGACTTTCTCCTGTAGAGAGTGATGATTTGAATCATGGTCTGACCCTTTAGTGGCTGCGTTGTGCTGAGAACTACATGTGTGAAGGTGCAGACCAAAATGGCCAGTTGCTATGGTGTCACTGGCCAAAAAAAAACTCTGTGCAAAGGCTCAGAGATACCACTCAAGGCCTTGAATTTCAGCCACCCACTCTCAGGAGTAGAGAATTCTGAACATAACAAGAGAATCCTAATGTCTCGCCAGTCCTTTGTCCTTCAGATTGCCTACTTTGCTGAAACTTTTTCACAAGTAATCTTTTGGTGAAACCTATATAATAAATGTGCTGAGCTAGCTCAGTCATCCCCCATCAGGGATTGGCTACAAACCCTGGCCCCTCTTGTGTGTCTGTTTGTGTTTTCTTCATTCCCCTGGTCACCCTTCACCTGGTATCTCTTTAATTAATGGCATGGCTGAGAGAGATGAGAGAGCCGCAGCATTCTCCCATTGTATATGCCCTCCCTTCATACTCTTTATTGTTTCTTTTTCAATGCAGAAACTTTTTAATTTAATGCCATCCCATTTATTGCTTGTTGGTTTATTTCTTGAGCTTCATGGGGCTTATTAAGAAAGCCAATGTATATGCCTATATTTTTGAGTATTGACCCCATATTTTCTTCCTATATTTGCAAAGTTCCTATTCTAATTTCTAGGTTTTGATCTACTTTAAGGTTACTTTTATTGAAGGTGACTCATAGGGATCTAGCTTCATTCTTCTACACATGGATGTCCAGTTTTTCCAACATAATTTGTTAACAAGACTATCTTTTTTCAGCATGTTTTAATGCCTTCAGTGAAGGATCAGATGAATATATCTATTTGGATGTATCTTACTGTCTTCTATTGTTTTGGTCTACATGTCTAATTCTATGTTGTCACTATGCTGTTTTTCTTACTATAGCTCTTTAGCATTATCTGAGATTGGGTACTCTGATGTTTCCAGGATTGCTCTTAGTGCTAAAAAGTGCTTTTGTTATTCTAGGTCTTTATTCTTCCATATGAATTTCAGCAGTGTTTTCTATTTCTTTGCAGAATATCATTAGTGTTTTGATGGGATTGTATTGAATCAGAATAAAACTTTTGGTAATAAATCCATTTTAACAAAATTATTTCTGTCCTGTCCAGGAACATGAGGAATCTCTCCTTTTTCAAATATCTCTTTCAATTTCTTTCCTAAGTGATATGGAATTTTCATTATATAAGCTTTTTGCCTTCTTGGTTAGCTTTATTTGTAGTCATTTTATATTTTTTACAGGGTATTGTGAAAGTAATTGTTTTCCCTGTTTCTTTTTCACAAGATTTGTGATTGATGTTCAAAGAAACTACTGATATTCATAGGTTGATTTTATGTTCTGCAACTTTGCTATGTTGTCACCATCTTCTGGTAGAGTTTTGACCTTCTAAATTTTGGGTAGTATCATCTGTAAACAGAGGTCATTTCAGTTCTTCTTTTTCTATTAGTATCCCTTTAATTTCCTTCTCTTGCCTGACTGCCTTGGCTAAAACTTTAAGTACTATATTGAATAAGAGTGTTGAAAATGATATCTTAGCCTTGGTCCTGAGTCTAGAGGAATTACTTTTGATTTTTGCCTGT